TACTACCGCTCTCGTCTTATTAGAGGAGTTCGCTCTTGTGTATGTGATAGGTTGAAAGCCGATGCAGGAAAGTTAAAGTTACTAATCTCATCTTAACCCGGTTCCTTGTAAACCCTGATCACTTATTGAAGATGACTTCATTTAAACTAGATCTCTTCCTAACAATAATTCTTTGCAAAAGTTCACGTATAACTCACATATTCTTATATGAAATGTGGCATGTTCTATTATGAAAGATGGATCAAGATCGACATTCACAATGACATGCATTTTCAAAGTGTCCAGGAGTGATTTGCTTCATTCACAACACACGTACACATACATTCACTTACCATACCCTAGATTGTTCCAAAGAGAACTGACATCAACTTACTTAGATAATATATATTTGAATTGACCATAATTTAATTAGAAAATGCTAACCAATAACTAGATTGACAAAGATCAAAACTTACTCAATATACTATAAGAACCATTACAGAATTTACTTTTTGCTAAGATTGATGGAGTATTTCACCATTTTCCATATCTTGTGATCGCAGTTCCTCTTCTGGGAGCACTTTTCAAACATGACAGCACTGCATCTCATGGGCGTTGGAACTCTACTAGAAATGACCAACCAGGTGCCTACACGTTACACATGAAGTCTCCATACCAAATGTTCTTCGTCCTAATCCGAGACTGCTGGCGCGCATACTGTTAATAGGTATTTCAATCACAGTAGACTTGCTCTTCGCGTCTAAGATCCCAACTTTCTTAGTCTTGCGAGTGAACCGCAATCTAACAACACCCAGAAACTTCGGGCAGAAGATTTAACCACTCATGGAGTCGTGTGGAACAAAGACTTCGTCATTAACTCTTCATGACGAGACAACCATTGTTCGAGAACGAAAAGTATCGGTACCGAACTCGATGAGATTTGGAAGAAGACGCGGAGACTGAGAGGACTGAGATATGACAAGGATTTCCAACAATTGAAGATCGGAAGATACTTTGCAAGCATAATTCGACGATCTTCTAGACCTCCGAGAGACGACATGCTATTCTGACCTCCGCGAGAAGCTATTCTATTTGCGAGGTACACGATCTTTCGCCTTGAAACCCTCATTATTCTATCATGTAGGATGTTTTCGAAGGTTCGCATATGTACCAACATTCAAGTAATGTAATTTGTTAGACTTATTTATCTTCAGAATTCTCTCCATGGTTGTAAGCTTGTCATTGGAGTGGACATTACATTGAATTAGTCTATATCGAACAATTAGTATGGAAATGCTAGCATGTTCTGAGGATTTTCAGGTTCGAAGCATTGTTTTACCTATCAAATGAGTATAATCGAGATACGAAGTTAGCTATTAACAAATGCAATAGATTAGAATCTTAATTTCGGTCTTGAATGTTCATTTGAAATTAGATGATCTAGAAGCGTGAGAAATTTTGTACACGAGATTGTATTGTTCTTATAATCTACTTCAATTTAGCAGTTATGATATTGTTTTACCAATTTTAATGAAATGAGTAAATTACTCAAAGTTGAAGTTTAGAAAATTTATTTCATAATGTATCAACAAAGTAACTTACAACTTTAAAATTCTTTAACAGTACTATGAAGTACTACGAAATCCTTGAATCTTGACGGAATGCGCGGAGGTATCCCTAAAAGTAAGCCCAAACAAAATTCTTCTTTTGACCTTATGTCCATCACATGAATCATCAATTTTAGGAGTGTAGCCATTATATACATGAGGAGGTAAACTTTTCTTTCAAATCACAAACAAATTATGGTTTATCGTATAATTGTACATAAATACTTCGAAAGCATGGAAGCAGAAACTTGGTATCGGACATGTGGATTGCTTTCACTTGGTCCAGTAATATTTTCCTTTTGCTGCCAAGAATATTTTAGATAAGTTTTCATATTTTATTTAACAATTTTTTCTTCCGATGGGTTTGCAAACTAAAACGTATCATTCATTTTTTTTTCTCATTTATGATTTGATAGATTTTGCGCCTCATTACATGGAAACCTGTGTTCCATTGTGTGGCTGAATGCAAAATGTACGTACGTGCTGTTTGTAGGCAATAAGTAGACAAGAATACGGCAACTCGATGACAGTATAAATATTCAAATCCTTTTGGTTGCTAGAGAAAAACCCCAAGGTGTGTCAAATACAATGCAACCATTATGAATATGTATGTGCCTAAGGTACTAGTATCAAGACGTCTTGATTTTCACAGAATGCTTCAGACAGATTTTATCATCAATATTATGACATTATTAGTTGTATTAGAATATATCTCCACTACTTCCATAGCATAGAAGAAGCAACCGTGATCTGACTTGTGGATTGCTTTTCCCTCGGTGAATCCCTTCATTTTACTGCTAACGATTTTCTGTTTTACCTTAAGACTTCATTATTTATTCTCTCTTTTACAGGCAATTTGATATCTAAAACATTTGATTGAATCGTTCTTCTCTTTTGCGATTTACTTGGATCTTGCATGTCTTCACTTATGATCCTTTATTTCAATTTGTTGCTGAGTGTACGTACTTGTTCATTATTAAACTTGTTCTTCATTTGAAACTTGAAAATTACTGCGTCTGCTATCTGGATCAGAAATACACATTAACATGTACAACTCTAAACTTTCGATGAAATTTCATAATACATATCTAATCTTGTAAGACAGAAGATAATACCATTCTTCGTTATCGAATAATTTTCTTACATCAATTGTAACTATATGGTGGATAGTCACAAATCCATTGTGGCATATGCATTAAAATTTTCGTTTGTATTACTCCCGAAAGTTGCTTTTTGTATATATTTTGAAACATCTCATATGTAATTTGATTAATCATGCTTCATCAAGCATAAGATTTTACACACCTCAATACTTCAAGATTTTGATTACATAATCTCTAAACATCTCTCACACAGAACCTATAATAATCACCATTTACTTACGATGGATATACGTCAATCACTCGATGATGAAGTAAAGTATTTTCTTATGTTCTTACAAGTTTAGACATTTAAAGTGAGATTTCATCAAGATGTTAAAGTTGTACACGTTAAGGTCTCTCTCTGAACAAGATGGAAATCGCTTGAAAATTCTGGCATATGCTTTAGAATATGTCATTTCTATAAAACACAAAATTTTCTTTCTTGTGTCCATTTTGAAACATCTTGTATGTAATTTGATGTACCATGTTTGTTCAAGCATGACATTACACTCAACTTAATACTTCAAGACTGTAATTTTTTATATCAGTATCTTACCAAAGACATATATAAGAATAGATTGTAAAGTTCATGACATCTTAAAAGGTTAGATCAACTAAGATCTTGAATTTCTTTCTAATCACTTAGGCTAAAATTCATTTTAATTTTAGTTTCTAATTTCAAGTCTCTGTCGTCAGATATCTAGATCTACTGATTTTTTTTGGGAAAATTAAGTACTCTCATTGTAGTAAAAGATCAGAAGGAATTCATTGAAATAAGCGATGGATTCCATGGAAATTATCAAGTGAAGACTTAAGTTAGAATTTAAAGAGAAAATGAGATTCAACTAGGAAGTAACTTTCAAGGTTCGGTTAAAAAACATCATAGGGTATAGTATATACATGGAAGACCATTTTATTATTTAATTCTTATAGCCTTTAATGCTCTAGGTGGTTTCTTTCACTGCATAAACTTAATTTGCTCAAAACTTTTTCACTTGATGTACTCATATATTGATTCTTATAGCAGATATCTTTCCGAGCATGTTCTTATGAAGATGATCATGTTAAGACTGCATGCTTGGCTCGGTAGGAATCCGCTTTGTCTTCTTTTCCCCAAACTAGGTCTTTACAAGTTGAAACAACTCTCAGCCTTCATATCGTGGCTTTTCTGAGATAATTCAATTTACAAAACTGATAATTCTTGTATCGTTCATCTAGAAGATTTAGTGTTGGCAGATTTTGAAAAAATGACAATCAAGCTGACTCCTAATGAAACTAGCTCAATCTGCTTTCATAGTTGATAGTTTCTCTATACTGAATACTATCAAACAAAGTTAGCGAAATCAATAAATATTGGATTTGATTGGTATCTATTCATTTTCTTGTTCATGTGATACAATATATGTGGTGCCTTCTCTACGTGGGTAAAGAAGTCAATTCTGAGCATTCAGACTGTTACATCTGAGAATATCAGCTGTAAAACTAACTGACTTTAACACATTCATCTATTCTGTTAAACACTCGACAGTATGTGTATTTATACCAATCGTTTTTGGTATAAATACAATGGATATATAGTATATTGGTGTGTCATTTTCGGACGTGGATGTGTCATATTTCTAAATATTTATATGGATCTAACCTCAGGTTGGAAAATCTAAATTCTAATTCCCTCTGACGTTCCAACCACTACTATGTTTCTATCTTCATTTTCACCTTATGTGACGTTGTCAACATTCTTCTGAATATAAAACAGCTCAAAGATCTACCTTCAGGACAACGATGAGTTCAGGAGCTGTATACAGTATCGAAGTGCCTTTGTAAGCTAGGCGATTATGTAGGGACCAGCTCGATGAACACAAACGGTGTAGACATTTTTCTGAATATGAGAGGCTTCGAAGAGTGAGCATCAATACTCTCAAGACATCGGGAGCTGAGTTTCAATGATGAAATTGCTTTGGCAAGTTAGGCTGTAACGCAACGTGCACAAATCATCGTAAAAGTAAACGTGAAACACAGGTAGATATCTATCTGACATTATGCTGAGTTTCAAAGTTACTCATCATTTGTATTCTCTCATGATTAGGAACAGGAACCATCTCAACATCATTACTATGTTGTGGAGTGTTCTCGAGCGAAACGAGGGGATGCGAATCGAAGAGGCTGAAGCAAACCAAGAAAGAATGGATTAAGGTGAGGGTTTGCAGTTGCCACATCATCCAGTTGTTGCCACAGCATCACGCTGGTGGATGTACAGTCCAGAATTCGGATAATGACAGATCCCAGTAACAAGAATCCCCACATACGCGAGGTGTGGGCAGGGAACCTTGAAGATGAATTCAAGTTGATACGTAATCTCATAGACGATTATCCCTACGTGGCCATGGATACCGAATTTCCTGGTGTAGTGGTGAAACCCATGGCATCACACAAAGATTCTGAAGATTATGCCTATCAAATCATCAAAACCAACGTGAACATGCTGAATTTGATCCAACTGGGGTTAACATTTTCAGACGAGAATGGTAATCTACCACAATGCGGGAACAGACCTTGTGCGTGGCAATTCAACTTCAAAGACTTCAATCTGGAAACTGACGTGTACGCCTTAGACTCCATCGAACTCCTGAAGCGAAGTGGTATTCAGTTCGAGAAGAACACCAAACATGGCGCTGACGCACGTACATTTGCCGAGCTTTTAATGTCATCGGGAGCCGTTTTGAATGACCAGATGACGTGGGTTACATTTCACAGTAGTTACGACTTTGCCTACTTGTTGAAGTTGCTCACGGGCCGTAATCTGCCGGACAAAGAGTCCGAATTTCATTCCCTGCTGAAGATTTTCTTCCCCAACTTCTACGACATCAAGTACGTGACGAAGTTCTGTGGCAATCTTTACGGCGGGTTGAATCAAGTTGCCGATTTACTGGCGGTGGAAAGAGTCGGGCCTTGCCATCAAGCGGGTTCTGATAGCTTGCTCACATCTGATACGTTTCACAAGCTGAGACACACATTCTTGCAGGACTGCAAATTCTTATCACAGCACGCAGGTGTGCTATTTGGACTGGGAGAGGATAAAACTGAGTCAAACCTGCCTTTGTAAAGAGTATCTTCTTATTCTTCTTCGGAGTCATTCATTGAAATTTCGCATTCAATGCTCCAGTGAGAATGCTAAGGACATTGCATACTAACATGACCTGACATAAAATCAAATATTTAAACAAGGGAAAGACAAGTTGAGCCTGAGAATGAGAATGTTGAGAATGTTACTAATGATTGCAGTCGAATCGATGGTTAAAAGGCATTTATGCCACTAGACTGGTAAGACATTTGACAGCTGAGTTCTAATCTTCCAGCATTATTCATGTGAATCGAATTCAGACTCGCATGGAAAACCAGCAGGTCCAGAGGCGGAACGAATGCCGGAACTTAAGGCTACCATTACCTTCGGTGCTGAAGATATATGGAACCAGGTCAAGGTTGTTGTTCTTTCCCGTATTCGAGGAACTAACCGAGACTTTACAAGGACAGGAAGATGAAATAAATTGCAGTTGCTGACCATGACCAATAGTTCTTTTTGCAGTCGAATCCTAGGATACTTTTTGAAGAACAAATTTTACCATAGCTACAGTTGCCAATTTTGGGACTGACTCTAATTACTCTGTAGTGCACCAGAAAATACAACAGTGAATTTTTTCCAGTACGGTGGGAAAAATAGTAGAAATATAAAGCTTAAACTATTTTACAATAGATCTTTAACGTGAGGGACCAAGGTTTATTATCCAATGAATATACCTCGTTTCCCTACAAAGTTTTGTTTCTCGCAGTCAAATTTACCTGCCTATCTCGAAACTGCGTAATATGAATACCAAACGGGGTCAACATTATTTTTTCTAATCCATTCCAAAAAACTAACAACAAATACAGCAAATGAGAAGACCCAAGTCTATTGGGTGGAAGTCATTGTAGACTCTCGCATTCTGGTTTGATGTTGGCAAAATGAATCTTTGTTTTTTAATACAGATAAATTACTGGTTAGTACTACTTACCATGTAGTTACATGGGCTGGTTTTACTCGAAATGATGAGAGAACAGATTTTGCTGTGATTGGCTACCCACAACGATGAACGCGAACCGAGGCACCAAGCCTGCTTGCTTGGTTTCCAGAAGCTATTGATGTCGATGGACCGATGGATGGGTAATTTTGTTTGTATATACGTTTTCTCTTATTTCTTCATTGTAAACCAAGAATTTTTGCGAACTTTATATGGAAACCATAAACCCTCAACATTTAGTCCTCAGTGTTTCTTTAAACAGCAAGAAGACTTACTGTCTTCCTTCTGTTTGGGTTTTTCCATATATAATCAGGAATGATTTGTTGCAATCCACAGCAACACTTTGACATTCATATTATTCAGAAGAGGGTTTTGCTGGCTGGGAATGTGTTTAGCCATCGTCAACTGCGTAACAATTGCCATCAAGCTTGTTGTCTTCTTTAATTTCTCCCACATGTTAGATCTTTCTAAACACTCTCTCACCCGGCAGTACTACCTTTTTATGTGAGTTAAATTACTAGAAAAAAAATATCAACACAAAACGTTCATAAATGTAAAATAAATTCCTGTGATCACTATCATGTATTTAATACCAAATATTCATTAATCTGCACATATACTGCAAGGTTTAACTAGATTTTTGTTTAAGTTGTAGAAAGCTTCAAAAATTGTATTCAACTTCTTGTCCCAATGTATGACGACTTTTCAGTGCAAAATTCAGTTTACAGTTCAATCTTGGTGCTTTTATATTGTACAGGCAAACTGAAAAACATAAAACGAATCATGTGACAACGTTGTCCTCTTAAATATTTCGAGGCATTTTCGTTCACTAAAGTTCAAAATGTGATTGGTGCAGGAGCTACACGCTACTGGAGTATCTGATCACTTATCTTTTGGAGAGTCAAATCTATCTCTCTTCAGGTGAAACATAATAGTCCGGAATCTTTGTTCGACTTTCAGTTAGAGGTCCTTGAAGAAAATATCAACACAGAAAACTTAGCATAGCTGGTTGCTCTAGCATGTGTTGTAATAACCCACTAAAGGCTAAAACTGCAATATAGTGGTAGAAAGGTCGAACCCACAGAGACAGAGGAACACACAGGGTACAAAGTGTCACATTTAACAGACTATTGAGGAGTTTGAATTCTTGTAATAACCCACCAAAGGCTAAAACTGCAGTATGGTGGTAAAAAGATCGAACCCACAGGGACAGAGGCAACACACAGAGTAAAAAGTGTCACGTTTAACAGACTTTTGTAGAGTTTGAATTCTCAGGCGACTGTCACTCCCAGAAATACTGCACTGCTCGACTCGGAGGCCACTCGGAGGATGCTCGACTCGGAGGTCACTCGGAGGATGCTCGACTCGGAGGATGCTCGGAGGATGCACAGTGCAGCGTAGGTCACTCAACACACACACACACCTGAAACTGGAAAAGCACAACTCAGAGGTCGGTCAGGACCTCCGCTTAGGATTTCAGGGGGAAAGTGTCTCAAAAGTTCACTCAACGGCTCTGCAGGTAGTGACTCCCACTCCCACTCCGGCTTTTACTGCCCTTCCGCCAGGAACTAGCGTAGGAAACCCGGACTGGACTTCCCACTTCGGATCGAAGTCCCTCATACGCCGTGGTCGTCACCCTCGACTCACATCAAACGCAGAGAGTACAGGCCCGACTGAGAACTCAACTGAGACACAATCCAGTAACACACACACACAACCTGAATTGCAAACCAAGGCTTACACGAAGTAACAAAACTTCACTTTGGCATTCAGGGGAAACTTCCCGTAGGAGTACAATCAGGATATGTCACTCGAAGGAGTAATTGGGAACTGTTCAAGTCTCTAACCGGGTACTAGCTCTGAACATTCAGCCGAAGGCCTTCAGCTACAACATACGGTAACTTCGCTATGCTGCAGCTTCTCTATGTGGTGCCAGGACCAAATGCACAAACACGCCAAGAAAGTGAGTTCCTGATCTGCACTTCCGAAACTGGAAGAGTCCCAAGGCTAAACGCCTTGATCTACTTTATACCCTCTAAGGTCCTAACTAACACTACGCTATCCTATCTGCTACTCGCAACACCTGCACGAAACCAAACTACGCTACTGCACTCTGCAGATCCGGTGCTGCGCCTCCTGCGCGCCGGACTGCCTCGCTCTCTATCTCTACCTTGCCAATCTTCCGACCGGCTGCGCAACCCCAGTCGCCGAAGGGCTGCAATCACCTCCGACTCTAAGTGCGCCAAAGTGTCGCGCGCACACGACAAGAAGGCTTCTAATTTCCTTGCTACTCGCCGCCGACTCCGACTGTCACCCTCCGTCAATGCCGCCGCCCGAAGCTCAAACTCCCTGAGTGTGATCTTCTCTTGAGCTGCCACCTCCCAATGGGCGTATACTTTTAGACAGTGAGTCACCCGCGTCGCCAACTCTTCTCGCGTCCGGCAGCTGCCTTCCACCTCTGCTAGCTGCAATTCCGCATCTGCGCGCTGCGCCCTCAAATCCGCGCACTCGGATTGCAAGTTGCGCAACAACTCCTCATCCTCCTTGCGTGTACTTTGACTTTCTTCTAATGCGCGCTTCTGGCGCGCAAGCTCTTCTGTTAAGATGCGGTTTTGTCTCCGCTCTTCCTGCAATTCCGACTCGATCTTTGCCCGCATTAGCTCGGCATTCGCCTGGTCTTTCGTCGCCGCATCCTCCCTCTGTTGTTGCAGGGTTTGGTATAGCCTCTGCGTGATCGCCAGGTGCTGTCGGAGGGCAGTGTTCCTATCCTGCAATGTTTGGCACCTAGAGGCCCAAGTGGCCACCTTGCTCCTCGTCCTCCGCTTGACAGTCTCCACGCAAGACTGCGGTTTTCCGGAACCCGAGTACTTGGATGTCTTGCGATCCAAATATCGCAGGAGTGGAACTATCTGCTCGCACAGTACCCCTGTTGGCGTCTTCTGCACAGAGTCCGCTTCCTGCTCTTCCGAACTCGTCTCATCCTCCGTTTCGAGGATTTCAGTCGCCACCGAATCCCTTGGCGACTCCCTGGAACTGTGGCGAGCGGCAGCTTCCGCCGCGACTGCCGCTCCACTCCCTGCTAAAATATCCAAGGCAGTGGGAGATCCCACTGCTTGAGAGCCTGTTCCGGCTTGATCTTCGGTTCCCGAAGGGGTCGACGCCGCAGTGACGTTCGTCACCTTTGCACCGCCCGCTTCTGCTGCCTGCTCTTCCGGCGCGATCAGCGGCCATCAATTGAGTCGTCCTCCACGAGCAAGAGCCGACCATGACTTTCGACCGGGCGGCGGAGAGCGTCCCATTCTTGAATTTGCGATTCCATTCTCTAGTGCGAGCTGCGCGCGTCCATCTGCTGGCTGCTAAGCATTCTCGACATCGCCGCGCAGAGGATTTCTTGGTGATTGAGGGAGAAGTGAGTGCGCGTGATTTGGAATTGAGGGCGATTAGAGTTTGCCGAGGAAGAAAGGAGCTCGAGCGGAGCGGAAGTAGAATGAGCAAGCGGGCGAACTCCAAGAACGCAATGACGAGACCGGGCCGATTGCGGATGCTGCCGCTCCGTCTACCACAGAACGGGCTGCGCGCTTTCGAGGAGCGCCTGATAGCAAGAAAGCTCGATTTCTTGCTATGGGGATGGAACTACATCTGTGCGGATATGGTGCGCGAGTGGCTAGAGCCACAGGGACCACCTTCGCGCGGATTGCGTCCGCATGTTGATCGGTGGACAGTCCAAGATTGGGCGCAGGCATTGGGGAGATGTGCCGGCATGCCAGGGCACCTCCTCTTCGACAGTGAGAGCGTCAAGGTGACCAAGCAGGAAGAGGCGCAATTTGTGGAGCTGTTCAAGAACGGGAGGTCTACCAAGAATGGGTACAAGACCCGCGATTACAAGGATCGATTCCGCCGGACTTTGTCCGCGGCGCTGCTGCAATTACTGCAGCCACACCGCGCCTGCTACATCACATTGTGGCAGGTCTCTTTTGTGGAGTGCATCATCGAGGAAACTCCAATTCACTGGGCGAGCATCCTGCACAGGGTGATGCGACAGCACGCT